GATTCTAGAGGGGAGGGGGGTGGGGGGATGGGTTAGCCTGGTGATGGGTATTGAGGAGGGCACGTACTGCATGGAGCACTGGGTGTTATACGCGAACAATGAATCATGGAACACTACATCAAAACCTAATGATGTAATGTATGGTGATTAACATAACATAATAATTAAAAAAATTAGAAGACAGAGAAAATAAAAGAAAAAATGAAAAAATGAAAGAAAGAGAGAGAGAGGAAGGAAAAAAGGGAAGAGATGGAAGGAAGGAGGATACACAGTGGTATGTAGGTAAATGATTAACAATTTAAAAACTGGTTCGGTAGTAAATACATAAATAAATAAAGATCAAAAAAAAAGATTTCAATGGCCCATAAGCACATAAAAAAAAAACCTTATCACCATTAATCATCAGGAAAATGGAAAATAAAACCAAATGAGATATGCTTACCCAGTCATTAACAATACCAGTGTTGACAAGAATGGAGAACAAAACGGTACTTTTAACATTGTTGACAAGAACATAATACAACCACTTTGCAAAATAGCAGTTTCTTACTAGGATAAGCATATACTTACTATACAACCAGGAATTTTACTCTAAGTTATTTACCCAAGAATGTATGTCCAAAACAAGACTTATACTCAGATGTCCATGGAATATTAAATGTCCACAGAAAACAAAAAGATATGGATGAATCTCAGAATCTGAGTGAAAGAAGATAGAAACAAAAAAAAGTATATTCTGTATGATTCCATCTATATGAAACCCTAGAAAAGTCAAATTTAAGTTATAGTATTAAAGAGTACATAAGTGTTTGCCTGAGGTAAAGATAATGAATTACATAGGGAGCAAAAGTGAACTTTCTGGGGTGATGGGTGGTTATATAGGTACATAAATGGAACAAAACTCATTAAAATATACACTCAAAATGAGTATTTTTACTGAGTTGAAACAATATAAATAAATGGTCTCAATAATACTGATTTGAAAACTAACTAGAAAAAAAGGATACAAATACAAAATATTAAAATAATCCTAAGAATAAATGAAATAGGAACATGTATATTTCTACCTAGAAAACGGAATATTGTTACTAGGAAAAATTTTGAAAAAACAAAGAAATGGAAAGAATATATGATGCTCATAGCTTGAAAATTTCAGTATTGAAGGAGATCTATAGATGCAATATAGATCTTCAGTTGCAATAGATCTATGAATTCCATTATAGTTAAAACTCCCATCAAGATTTTTTTTAATATGGATACTGACAAACTGATTCTAAATTTTAAATAGAAATGCTAAGTATCAAGAGTACCTCAGACTTATTTGAAAAAGAAAAGGACAAGGTAGAAAGATCTTACTCAACCAGATACTCATCTTTATTAAACCTAATTATGACAGTGTGGCACAAGGAAACACAGACAGGCAAATGAGGCAGAACTGAGTGGCAAATCAGAATCCAGCATTTGGGGGCACTTGATTTGTGACAAAGTGGCAGAGATGGAAGGAAGGAAGAGTTTTTCAAATAAATGATGCTGGGCCATCCTGACATCCGTATTACTCCTACCTCATTAAATTCACAGAACTCAATTCTGATGGACTGTACATATAAATATAAAAGACAATAAAGTGGCCAGGAGATAAGGTGGGGGAAATGTAGGCAAAAATTTCATCTACAATCAAAAAAGCACTAAAAAAGACTTGACAAATTGAGTTTCAGTAAAATTACAACTTCTGTGGACCCAAACAGATTCATATAAATGAACAGAAAAGTCACAGAATGGGAGAAGATATATATAAAACATAAAATCTTCAAAGGGACCATTTTCAAATGCATAAAGAACCTTAAAAATTACTAATAAGAAGAAAAACTCAATTTTTAAAAATGGGAAAGAGATTTCAACAGGCAAATACAAAAGAATAAAACCAAAAGACCAATAAATCTGTAAGAAGTTGCTCAACCCCATTAGTCACAAGGAAAATGCAAACTAGAAATACAATAAAATATTTTCACCAAAAGGGCTAAAATATGAGTGGCAGTACTAAGTACCATTAAAGATATGAAGAAACAGGAACTCTCATATGTTGCTGCTGAGTTACTAAACTTTCATAACCACTTTGGAAAACTATTTGGCATTATCTAATAAAACTGAACATGCACAATTAAATGAATCAGCAATTCTACTCCATGTTATTTACCCATCAGATATGCATGCAAATAAATGTGTGGTACACCCAAGAGTAATATACAAGCAGCATCACTGTGTAAAAACCAGCATTATCTGTAATAGTCTAAACCTAGAAAGTTCCAAATGCCCATCATCAGTAAAATTAATAAATTCCAGTATCCACCTACAAAGGAATAAAAATAAACTATTACTATATGCAACATGGATGAATCTCATAAACAAGGCCGGACAAAAGACGCTACAGACAAAAAAACACATACTGTGCAATTTCATTTACATAAAATTCAAAAAAGACAAAGCTACCCTCATATTAAAAGTCAGGGTTATGAATCTGGAGAGGAGCAAGATTACTGACAGGAAAAGGAACACAACGTGGGGGCTTCTGGGGTACTTGGAACATTATTTCTTGACTTGGGTGATGGTAACATGAGTGTCTTCACTGTTAAACTGAGCTTTTATACTCTGTTATTTGTGTACTTCTTGAATTTAAAATGTGAATACACACACACACACACCTGTGTATGTAATTTAAGACTGTGGACTAGTCTGTTCTAGGAATGCTCTGTGATGTGCTACCATAAATTTTTATCTATTCAGCACGATAAAAAAGATAATGTTTGTTTATACAATTACATATATATTATATATAACTTTGCAGATTTATTTTGAAAGTCTGTATTTTAAACTTTTCATCACCACTGCAAAGATGCACAATGTTATCATGTTATCATTTGTGCATGTTTTTTACTTTATTGGAAACAGTAACATGCTATAGGACAATGGATGACAAATTCAGCAGAGTTATGTCTGAACATCATTCAAGATCTCTGTTTAGGCTCTGAAATATAGTGGGTGACTTTTAAAAATACCAGAACGATACAATTATGAAATGCAGTCACAAAATGCATAATTGGCCCTTCTCAAGAATTCTTAACTATACCTCTGCATTTACCGTGTACTGTTTCACTGTGTTTGAGGATGGAGTTGTAAAATGAGTATAAACAGGTAGTAGTGTATACCTCATGTTTTCAGCTGAGTCTTCCGGCATTGGGGCGACAGTTTGTACAGCTGGAAGGTTTTTGCTGGTAGCACCATTCACAAAACTAGAAGAGGAGGAAGAGGAGGAGGACCCTGAATCCACGGCACCTGTTCCCAAAATAATAATTTTTAGCCTTAAAAATAAATTTATTTAACAAAATAATTCACTATATCATTACTATCTGATTTTGAAGATTTACTCATCTGAATTTCAAAACAGAATTCAACAATTAAAAAATCATTTTGCCATCAGTATGCTAATAACTCTTTATAAATAATAGCTGTTGTATTAAAATCCAGTTGATTTACTTATATTAATCTAACAGAATTACATAGTACAAATGGGGTATAAATAAAAGACATCAACAAATGAAAATAATTTTAGATAAAATGAGGCTGATAAAACAATTCCAATTTAGATGTGAAAAATTTGTTTTTATTGCTATATTGTAATATTTTTAGTTTTCACCATCTAAGATACAACTTACAACAAACAGCATAAACTTGTGGCACTGGAGCATCAAATACTTATTTTGATAAAATGAATGCTTTAAGAAGGGCTATAATGAATATAATTGTACCTGATTTTAAAATAATGAGTTCTCCTCAATGATATGAAGATGCCACTTTGGAACAGACTTTTTCTATAATACACCATGTAAGTATATTAAAGAGCTGTGGAGTTGAGGGACATCTAGTGTTCCTGAATATTATCTTATCTCACACTAATTCCTACAAAACTGAACTGCTCACTGAGATTTCTGCTGCAACACTTATATAGCATCTATTTGCCAAAATCTAAACTGGACAATGTGTCCAGTTTAGGTGTTGGCATACAAAATGTGTGTGTGTGTGTGTGTGTGTGTGTGTAGGTGTGTCTGTACATGTTTCTGAGGAGGATGTTTAATTACTTACATTTTATTTTCCACTGTAATATTATGTACTTTTAACTATCACTAGACTTCTTGCTATATCACTTCCTATATCTATTAATTCATAAAATAGAAAATATAAGAAAATATTATAACTTGTTTCACATGAAGATAAAAAAGGGGAAATTTAATTTTCCTTTAACCTATCTCTTAAAAATAAGGAATTATTCAGTAGACACTAAATGCAGATTTCTTTCTACTACACTCACGTATTTAAGAAATCTTAACATGTTTTTTGATAGAAGTTTTGGTAAAAGAAAAATATTTTCTATTTCTAGAAAGCAGAATGAATATAAAGAATAAGATTATAAACTGTATAGAAAAATTTTAAAGTCTTCAAACAAGCTGGATATATTTATTTATAATATAGATAAACCAAGGATGTTATGCCATCAATAATGTTTATTGCTACTATAAATATGCTTGATAGAGTATATTCTACTTACTACAACCCCATAAATGTGTTGTTCATGATATGTCAGCCTCAGGTGGTATGGTAAAAAAGATAGATACAGAAAGCACATAGAAGAGCTATGAAATTAATAAAAATGGGAAGAATCTAAGTAATGATAATAGATGGAAAAGTTCAAGGCTATACAGTTTGGAGAAGAGAAGGCTACTATAGTCAGGGAAGAAAAGTCAGGGATCATCTTGCGTTGTATAAATACCTAAAATGGAAATCACAAAGATTTGGGTAAGGATTTATTTAGCTAATAATCAACAGGAACATTTCTGGAAATTTACATAAATAAAGGTTATTTTAGGCAGGCTTTTGAAATTTTAGTGGTTTGGAATTTTCTGTTCCTAGCATCATTAGGAAAATGTTGGACAATGAATTGGATACGATTGTAATCTAAGTACATAAATTAATTCAATGTCAAATAATGGTTCTTATTCGCATGCATTTTTTTTCCCATCAAGTTGAGGTTCTTGCATATCGTCAAGGTTCTTAGGGGAGCTCTGCCTTTCCTTAAGAGGATTTTGCAAAAAATATACATTGAGATTCTACCAGGAAACGACACTAAATCTATTTTCTATCACTAACATATTTAGTGATATTCTTGATACCATTTACTAATTTTTACATATCAAACTTCACTGTTTAAATTATCTTTTGGTTTTGCTCCCCAAATACCTTTCAGCAATCTGATTTAACTCTGAAAGTAAATAGCACTGAGTTTTGAGAAGACTCAAAACAAAAACCAATAGTGTCCTTTAAAATGACCACTAAAAAATGTCTTAGAAGTACAGACAAATTCTGAAAGGTAGTATCATAAAGTAGAACCTTCTTAAAGATTATGATAATCCTAAATGAATAGGGTATTTTAATTTTTAAGATCAAATAAGCAGAAAAATGAAGATATAGAAAACAGAAAGAAAAAGATGAGGTATCACAAAAATATATAAGGACAATACCTGTTGTATTAATCATACTTTTTGGTGTAGCTCCAGTAGCCGCAAATATATTAGATGTACTGCCTGTTGGCAGCCCACTTCCAGCAGCAGTGGCTCCCACAGTGGTTACAGCCAAACTACCTGGAGGGGGCTTCTTAACAGGTACCACGACACTCCTACAAAGCAAGAAGTGATGGAAAAATAACAAACACAAGGTTTAAGATGAAATCCAACCCTGCTATGACATATACAGTCAACATTCAGTTGTCTTATCTTTTTCTTTTCTTTTTTAACTTCTGAGGCCAATTTTATTGGTGAAAAGGATATGGACATTAGCATATATTGTGAAGTGTGTTGACTTTAATTCATTTGGCAAATGCTTATGTCGAATTTGGAGTGTGCAGACCTTTCTTAAGATGGCTTGTAGGCTATAATCACGAATCTGGAAAAACTGGGAAAATGTGTGCTCAAGTTAGAATATTTTGCATCTGCAGTTTTTTTGTAAAATATGCATAAAATGTCCTTCTTACCCATATTCTATTATCCACATGTAAAATTGTCATAAAAACATAAAAACCACTCTGAAAGCCAGATTCTGAAGCTCCTTCATAGTAAAGATAAAAATTAACCAAGGAATACTGAGTAACATCTAATGCTATAGTAAGGTTATACTTTATTTTTCTGAAAAAAATTTGTTTTTCACAGTTGTTATGATGAAAAAGAACTTGATGATACACTTGATACAGTTAAAGATCTATTTAGCTTTCAAGCCTTGACATTTTCAACACAGGGGTTTCCCATGTTACTTTAGCATATTTAGATGAATTTCACACACACAAAATTCTGAATTTGACATTGTATTAACCTTAAATAATAAATGAGTATCATTTTAAAAGATAAACTATCTAGAATCATTAATATCTTTATTTCCAAGTAGTGAAGCTTCATTCTTCTCAAAGAATCAGGGTTGAGAGAGGTGGGAAGCTGGATTTGACCGATTTCTCATATTCTTTCTCAGCCTACAACTTTATATGCAACCTACTATTTCTCCTTTGATTATAATGGCCAAGTGGTTTACTAGAATCAGAGTACTGTACATTCTTGTCCTTAATACCATTTCTTCAACACTGCCCATTCCCTAACACATCAAACTATTCTCTGTCCTAACAATCTATTTTACAAATAATTTGCAAGTTTACATTTATCAATATGTGTTGATTAACACATTATGTCAAAATTGAACTTTTCAGCTCTTATAAAATCTTCTATCAGAGACTCAACATGTTCCACTTGGTAACTTATTCCATCCATACCAAAAGGCTTACCTAGTAGTCTACATAACCGTTGTGGGTACCCATTTCAATTCCATAAATACCCTAAAGTATACATAAAATTTTGAAGTGCATACAACTTTTTCTAGGGTGAGCAAATAATTATCTGGATTTCAAAAATACATCCACAAAAAAGTTAACAGCACCAATCTAAACTATTAACATATTCCACTCTCCTTCTAAATATGCTATTCATACAGATGCATACGTAGAGTCCTCTATACTACACACACTTTACCAACTGCATTTTTCTATCCTAAGAACATTCTTTCCATGTTTCCCCACACAATTTCACAGTTCTGTCCCATACCTTAAGACTGCAAACTACAAATAAGTAGATGATCCCTCTGTACTACATAAAACTCACACATACTCTAAGGTTGTAAAGGTTATCATCAAAACAGCACAAGCCAAGAAATTATTCAATCTAACTCACGTCAACAAAATGTTTGAGTGGTTAACTATGTTTTGTAATACACTGAGTGATATATAAGACATACCAGTGTAAATTTTTCCATCACTGAATTTATCCTATCTCAAAACCAGAGATTTGGGGTGTGCTCTAAGAGTCATTCGTTCATTCATTCAACAAATATTTATTGAGCACTATGATGTGTGAGGGGCGGTTCTAAATTCTGATATACAGAGATATATAGAACAGACACATTCCCTGCCTTCATGGAACTTATGTTCTAATATGGAGAGACAGAAAACACAATAACATGAATGAGTTAATACAGTATACGAGATGGAAAGTGCTATGAGAAAAATAAAGCACAGACAGGAATAAAGAGAGTTGCTAAGAGAAGACTCACTAAAAAATGCAGTATTTGAGGAAAACACTGGAAGGAGCAGGAGGAGCTATGAAGATATCAGAGAGGAGTGTAAGAGTGTCACAGGCAGATGGACCAGGAAGAAGGCTAGTGTGAGTCTAGAAGATGTGGAGACTTGTAAGAAGTGAGACCAGAGAAGAGGGGTTCTGATCAGAGGTCTTTATGGTCCATTTTAAAGCCATTGGCTTTTTCTCACAGTGGGATTGGAAGCCATTAAAAGCTTATGTGCAGGGGGGGCGGAGCAAGATGGCGGAGGAGTGGGAGACCTAGATTTCGTCTGGTCTCAGGAATTCAGCTGAATAGGGATCAAACCATTCTGAACACCTACGAACTCAACAGGAGATCGAACAGGAGAGTAGCAACAACTCTCTGAGGAGAGAAGCGACCACTTACTAGAAGGTAGGGAGTGCGGAGAAGTGAATCCGAGGCGATATTCGGGAGGATAGACGGCGGGGGAGGGGCCTCCGTCGGCCGCTTCTGGCAAGTGATAGAGCCGCGGAGCACAAAATCGGACCTTTTAGAAGTTGGCTCGGCGGAGGGACGTCGCTGCAGTGGCTAAGCGGGGGGTGGAATCCTCCCGGGACAGTGTGGTCTCAGGACCCTTGGGGTCACAGAGAGACCGGGGGTGCCTGAGTGCACCAGAGCTCCCAGGTATCAGAGTGGGGAAGCCGGCTGCAGAGACGGAGCAGAGTCGCGGGCTCTCAGCTCGGGGTGGCCATAAACTGTGATCTGCAGCCCAGTCGGGGCACAGCTCCTCCAGCAGGGACCCAGCAGGCGGCAGATCCGGGGAGACTCCCCTTCCTTCCCGGGGAGGAGCAGTGCGGGAACGCACTGCAGGGATCTGCTGGGTTTGGAGACTCCGCGCGGGGTCGGGTGCCAGAGATAGCAACGCTCGATCACAGGCTGGGTGAGAACGGAGTGCGGCCGGAGACCGGGGACACGGGAGTGACTGCTTTTCCCTGGGGGCACACTGAGGAGCGGGGCCCCGAGTTCTCAGCTCCTCCGGGTGGAGATTGGGAGGCCACCATTTTTGCCCTGGTCCTCCAAGGCTGTACCGAGAGCTTGCAGGGAACAAAAGCTCCTGAGAGTAAACCGGAGCAGCTTCCTTAGCCCGGACCGACAAGGGCGGGGCAATTCCGCCTCCGGCAAAGACATTTGGAAACCACAGCAACAGGCCCCTCCCCCAGAAGATCAGCACAAACAGCCAGCAAGCCAAGACCAAGTTGATCGATCAAGGAGAATGGGAGAACTCCAGCGCTAGGGGAATACTGCACATAGATTCATGGCTTTTTTTTTTTTACCATGATTCATTATTTTATCAAAGTGAATTTTTGTTGACTGTTTTTGTTTTATTTTTATTTTTCCCTTTTTCAACCAACATCTTATCAATCCCTTTTTTTTAAAAAAAACAAAACATTTTTTATTTTTCATTTTTAGAGTCATATTTTATCCCTTCATAGTAGTTACCCTTATTTTTGGCATATATATATAAGTTGTTCTCTCTTTAAAATTTTGAGGTACAGTTTCTTCTAACAGATCAAAATATACCCTAAATCACTAGTGTATGGCTTTGTTCTAGTCTCCTGCCTGATCACATTCTCTCCCTTTTTCCTTTTTTTTTTTCTTAAATCTTCTTTCTTTTTTCAAACAACTTATCTTACCAAGTCCTTTTATAAAATCTTTTATAATTTTCATCTTTACAGTCATCTTCCATCCCTTCATTGTATCAACCCTTATTTTGTACATATATGTCTTTCTTCCTTTAAAATTTTAGGAATCACTTTTTTCTAACAGACCAAAATACGCCCAAAATCTAGTGTGTGGCACTGATCTATGCACTAGCCTGATCATATTTGATCACATTCTGCTTTTTTTGTATTGTTCTGTTTTTGTTTTTATCCTTTTTTTTTCTTTCTTTTTTCTCTTTCTTTTTTCTTTCTTTCCCTTTCTTTTCCCCTGGTTTCAGGTCTTTTCTGATTTGTATACAGTATATTTGCTGGGGACGTTGTAAACCTGTTAGCATTTTGTTCTCTCATTCATCTATTCTCCTCTGGACAAAATGACAAGACGAAAGAAGTCACCTCAGCAAAAAGAACAAGAGGTAGTACCGTCAGCCAGGGACCTACTCAATACGGACATTAGTACGATGTCGGACCTAGAGTTCAGAATCATGACTTTAAAGATACTAGCTGGGCTTGAAAAAAGCGTGGAAGTTATTAGAGAAACCCTTTCTGGAGAAATAAAAGAACTAAAATCTAACCAAATCGAAATCAAAAAGGCTATTGATGAGGTGCAATCAAAAATGGGGGCACTAAATGCTAGGATAAATGAGGCAGAAGAGAGAATCAGCGATATAGAAGACCAAATGATGGAAAATAAAGAGGCTGAGTAAAAGAGAGAGAAACAACTACAGGATCACGAGGGCAGAATTCGAGAGATAAGTGATACGATAAGACGAAACAACATTAGAATAATTGGGATCCCAGAAGAAGGAGAGAGAGAGAGGGGCAGAAGTTATATTGGAGCAAATTATAGCAGAGAACTTCCCTAATGTGAGGAAGGAAACAGGCATTAAAATCCAGGAGGCACAGAGAACCCCTCTCAAAATCAATAATAATAGGTCAACACCCCGACATCTAATAGTAAAACTTACGAGTCTCAGAGACAAAGAGAAAATCCTGAAAGCAGCTCGGGAGAAGAGATATGTAACCTACAATGGTAGAAACATTAGATTGGCAACAGACCTATCCACAGAGACCTGGCAGGCCAGAAAGGACTGGCAAGATATCTTCAGAGCACTAAACGAGAAGAATATGCAGCCAAGAATACTATATTCAGCTAGGCTATCATTGAAAATAGAAGGAGAGATAAAAAGCTTCCAGAACAAACAAAAACTAAAGGAATTTGCAAACACGAAACCAGCCCTCCAAGAAATATTGAGAGGGGTCCTCTAAGCAAAGAGAGAACCTAAAAGCAGCAAAGAGCAGAAACGAACACAGACAACAGACAGTT